TATATATATATAAAACACTGATAATGACACTAAAGCTATGTAAAACAATGTCCTCATTTTTTAAAAAAGGTATACTGAAGTATGGAGGGGTAAAACTGACATTAATATATGTAGTTTACTTTTTAAAAATTGTGATATAATTGACATAACCTTATGTTTAGGAATACAACATATTGATTTGATATTTGTATATATTGCACATTGATCACCACACTTAAGTCTAGTTAACATCCATCACCACACATACTTACAAATATTTTTTCTTGTGATGAGAATTAAAATTTACTCTGTTCTCAACATTCAAATATACAATACAGTATTATTAACTATAGCCACCTTGGTGTACATTACATCCCCATGATTTATTTATTTTATAACTGGAAGTTTGTACCTTTTGACCCCTTCACCCACTTCACACCCTATCCCCACCTCCCACCTCTAACAACCACCCTTTTTTTTAAATCTATGTGTTTGGATTTTTTCGTTGTTTATTTTTTATGTTTTTGGCTTTTTAGATCCCTCTTATAAATATATATAGGTCATACAGTGTTTGTCTTTCTCTGTCTGACTTACTTCACTTAGCATAATGTCCTTGAGGTCCATCCATGTTGTCACAAATGGCAAGATTTTGTTCTTTTTTATGGATGAATAATGTGTTGTATATATACACCACATTTTCTTTATCCCTTCATCCATTGATGGACACTTACGTTGTTTTCATGTCTTGGCTCTTGTAAATACGGCTGAAGTGATGTGGGGGTGCAGATTTCTTTTTGAGTTAGTGTTTTTATTTCCTTTGGATAAATATCCAGAGGAGGAATTGTTTGATCAAATGGCAGTTATATTTTCAGTTTTTTGAGGAACCTCTGTTTTCTCTATTTTCCACAGTGGCTGCACCAGTTTACATCCCCACCAGCAGTCGTCCTCATTAACACTTCTTGTCTTTTCTTGATACTAGCCATTCTAGTAGGTCTGAGGTTATATCTCATTTTGATTTTGATTTGCATTTCTCTGATGATTATGGCATTCATCACTTTGAAATGCTTCAAAAAAAGAAAAATGGAAGAACTGAAGTAAGTATGGCAAAAGCTTGATCATTGTAGAATCTGGTGAAGAAATGTCAGGGTTTTTCATAAGAATGGTCTATTTTTTACATTTTTCATATTTTTAATGAACATAATGTAAATATTGAAACTTTAGGTTTTTTTCAAATAGTAGATACCATCTTCTTTCTGATGGGTGTGGGAGGGAAGGACTGCTACCTTTTTAAGCTTCCCTAAAGACTATATCTAAATCTTGATTTTTTTTTCCAGGATTACTCTTAACATCATTTGTTTCACCTTGCTGTGATATCATATCCTCCTAGTACCATGACCATTTATGTAACTTTCTGTTCCTCTTCTTATTTGGTCCCAGCCTCTCTTGAATTTATTTTGTCTGCTCTTTTTGTTTTCGTCTGTCACTTGTCGGTGAGCCTATATTTATGAGTTCATTTATGCTTTCCTTCCTCTGCTAATGTACACTTCTAGCCACTGGTTAAAATCAAGTAAGTATTGAGTAAGGACCCCAAGGCTAGACTAGCAAGTATCTAGAACTCCTGCTGCCCTATCAGTTCTTTCATTTGTGGAAGATGTTGAGAAACAGGAAAGCCTGTGTTGTATGATTATCCCTATTATAAAAATAATGAATTGATTGATCATAACCGATGAAAATAATTTCTTATTTGCCCTTCAATCCATGTACCCCCAAGTAGCCTTTCTCATAGTGTTAACAGAATTAAGACTTACAGAGAATGACTCGAGTAACTTTTTTCCATTCACTCAAGGATAGTGTATGGCTGGTAACATTTTAGATCCACACGGAGGAGCTAAGTTATTGCTTTATATACTATGAATGATGTAGGTCATCATAGTTTCTCTGACAACTGGTTGAGCCTGGCTGAAGCTGAACTAGAGACTTCTCAGTCTTGTCTGTGGCCTTGACCTTGCAATTGTCTTTATACAGTTCAGATATAAAGTGTTTAGAAATCTTATCTATTCCACTGTTAAAATTGTAAAAGTAAGGGATATGGGAGAAACTGGAATGTTATCCTATATTGAAATTCTGAAACCTAAAAAAATTGCAACCTTAATGGAAATTTATAAAATTAACCTGCAGTAATGAACACTAGATTTAGATTTAGAATTATTTGTAGTTATTAAATCAAGAACCTGAAACTTTGGTTTAAAAGAATATTGAGGGGCTCCTGGGTGGCGCAGTCGGTTATGCATCTGACTCTTGGTTTCAACTCTGATCGTGATCTCAGGGTCGTGAGTCCAGCTCCCTGCTCAGCGCAGAATCTGCTTGGGATTCTCTCTCTTCTTCTTCCTTTGCCCCTCCCCCACACCCTCTGTCAAATAAACAAATTCATTCATTCATTCATTCATTCCAGAGTCCTGTGTGCCAGTGATCCCCCAATCGCTTAATCCAACATGGACCACTTCTCTTGAGCTTCAGGCTGCTACCTCCTCCTCATTATCACATAATTAGTAGTTGTAATATTCTGATAATAATAATCACATAATTAATAAATCACATAAACTATTTTTTTTAAATCTCCTCTTGTCTAGTCTTTCCTGTAATTATCCTAGTTCTGACTCCCAAATTTCTTGTTTGAGTAGATTTTTTTATCTGCATCTCTATAGCCTTGTCTCTACTAAATCCCCCATTTGCCATCAGAGGTAGGTTTCCAAAAACACTAAATATAATCCTATCTCTCTTTTGTTTAAAGTTTTTTAGTGACTTTCCATTTCTTTTAAAATAAATTGTTTCTAGTCTATTTTTCTCAACATTTTTCTTTCCGCATACTTAAGACAAGCTCAAGTCTTTGTTTCCTGAATGCTCTATGTCCTTCCATGTGTTTTCACCTTTTGGTGCTCCTTTCTGCCAGAAAAGCTCCCACTGCCTGTGATCCCTTCCCTCACTACCTTAATCTATGCACCAGTTTTCATTGTGTATGTAGATTAAAGCATTTGTCACATTGCATTGTCATTGTCTTGTGAGTTTAAGACTGTACACATGTATAGTTAACATTCTGAGGACTCTGATTTTATTTTCTTTGAATTCCCATTGCCTAAGATAAATTGAGATGAATTTTCTTTGTAAGAAATATTCTGCAGTGAGTTAAACAGATTACAATTTATATGAATTAAAAGCATTTCTAGATATTTTTAAACCAACTTCTTGTTTATTGCATCTGATATTTTTTTCATGGAATAAACAATAACCGTAGGGCTATTTTCTCCTCTGATTTTCCTTTCTTGGCTTTGTTATTGTTGTTCATATGGTTGTTCATTGTTTCCGGCACATAAAAATTATAGGTGTCAATTTTCTTAATTCTATAGAAAAATTGTGAAAAGAAAACCGTAATTCTGAAATCCCAGCACTGTCAACATTTTTTTTTTAACACTGTCAACATTTTGTTGCATTTCTTATCACACTGTTTTACTGTTGCTATCTATATTTCTGAATCTCTGTTTTTAATAGCTATTGTGAGCATGTAAATTTGCTTTAAAACAGTTTTTAATAAATGCTTGATATCCCATCATTTAGATGCATTATAAATATTCAAATTTTGGAATTTGAATTTTGGGTATTGTCTAATTGTGTAATGTTAGAATCTGTCTCTTTTAATAAAGACCTTTAACCCATTTGTAGTCCTTCTAATAACTAAAGATTCCTTGCCTTTTTTTGGTAATACGGATTATTTTCTTCTAATGATGATTTGGAAAATACACATTCTGTTTTGTTGTAGATAATTACTTTTTTGTTTTTGAGGATTTTGATGCATTTTAAATTTTGAGTGAAACAGAATCTACTAATTGACCCATGGGGGAAAAAATGGAATACTTTCACATTTTCAGCTTCTCTTCCCGAATTCCCAGTTTCTTACGAAAATAATTTGGAAGTTTTGACTCAAATTATATAAAATGGTTAGTTTTTCAAAAATGTGTTTATTCAAGCCTTTTTTGGCTTTTGACAAGTTGATTTGACTAGTTGCTTAATATTTTTATATCCCAATTTTTTTTAAAGTTTTATTTAAGTGATGGCTACATCTAATATAGGTTCGAACTCAGGACTCTGAGGTCAAGAGCCAGAACATCTTTCAACTGAGCCAGCCAGGTGCCACTATATCCCAGTTCTTAAAATTTTATTTTGAGTCTTCTCTGGCTTGGTTGGAAAAAGACTTTGAGTTACTTTTTCAGTAGGAGTTTGTGGATAATATGTTATTGCTTGTTTGAGAATGGCTTACTCATGCAAATTAATGACAATTTGACATAAAATTTTAAGTCCTAACTTCTTTTCTCAAAATTGTGTAGACATTGCTCCATTGTTTTCTGGCATTCAGTATTTTAGAAAAGTGTGAGACCAGTCTTATTTTTATTTCTTTGTGGGTAAACTGTGATTTTCCTAGAAGTTTATGGGCAGATTTCCGTATGTTTTCTTAAAACTTAAACTTTTTACAAAGATATGTCTAGGATGATATTCCATTTTCATTAATTTTGTGTCTTGTCCTGCCATTGAATTTCCAGAGTCAGCTGCTGCTTCAGCTCAGAAAAGTTATATTCTATTTCTTTGGTTTGTATCTTCTCCAATTTTTTGCTTTTCTAGGAATTATTTTGTGAGTTGATTGAATTTCTTAGATTTATATGCCATGTCTTTTTTTTTTTTTAAGATTTTATTTATTTATTTGACAGAGACACAGCAAGAGAGGGAACATAAGCAGAGGGAGGGGTAGGAGAAGCAGGCTTCCTGCCGAGCAGGGAGCCCGATGCGGGGCTCGATTCCAGGACCCTGGGATCATGACCTGAGCCAAAGGCAGACGCTTAATAACTGAGCCACCCAGGCACCCCTATATGCCATGTCTTAAGATTTTTAAAAAAATAATTTAGCTGTCTTGTTTTTGCCAGAATAAGACCAATACTTAGGAAAGAGTTCCCAATTAAATTCTCTCAGATTTAGTATAGATAATAGTTGGAATGGTTTTCTTCCACAGTTCATTTGCATTAAAACAAAAGTTCAAAGAAGTTTCAAAAATGGGGACGCCTGGGTGACTCAGTCAGCTAAGCATCTGCTCAGGTCATGATCCCGGGGTTCTGGGATCAAGCCCCGCATCAGGTTCCCTGCTCAGTGGGGAGCTTGCTTCTCCCTCTACCTCTGCTCCCCTGCTTGTGCTTGCTCTCAAATAAATAAAATCTTTAAGAAAAAAGTTTCAAAAACATGAAACTCTTTATTTTCTAAGTGGGACAAATGTTTACCTTGAAATATTCTCATTTTCTTAGAAAACCTCTTTTTAATTGTATAAGGAAAAAAAATTTCAGTCTACTCTTAATAAGAACTATCACCAATCTCAATGAGTGGACTCAGAATTGTGTTATTTTAGATTCTTTATACATTCATATGTTTGCACTTAATTTAATGCATATTTTTACTGTTTATGATAGTTCTCTCAGTGAAATAGAAGATTCCCTCCCTCCTGGAAAAGCAGTATTTTATACATGGGCTGATCCAGTGGGCTCTAGAAAGCTGAAGTGGAGATGTGGAAAAAGCCATGGTGAAGTAGCACAAAAGGATGTACGTATGGGGTTGAGTATTACTGTTCTAAACATCTTTTTTTTAAAGATAGTCTCTTCCGGCTTTGCTATTTATAAGGCCTGTTTTGTGTCTGTACTTTTAAACAACTGCCAAAGATTTTTTCTTTTTTTAAGTTTCAGGAGTAGAATTGAGTGATTCATCACTTACATGTAACACCCAGGGTTCATCATTACCAGTGCCCTCCTTAATCCCCATCACCCACCTAACCCATCCCCCTCCAGCAGTCCTCAGTTTGTTCTCTAAAGTTAAGAATCTGTTTTATGGTTTGCCTCTTTTTTCCCCCCTTATCTTCATTTGTTTTGTTTCTTTAATTCCACATATGAATGAAATCACATGGTATTTGTCTTTCTCTGACTTATTTCGCTAAGCATAATATAGTCTCTAAGCAGCAGAAAGAGAAATCAAGGAATTGATTCCCATTTATAACTGCATCAAATACCATAAGATACCTGGGAATAAACCTAACCAAAGAGGTAAAAGATCTGTACATCTTATCAAAAAAAGTGAAGATGACACAAAGAAATAGTAAAACATTCCATGCTCATGGATTAGAGCCAAATATTGTTTAAAAAAAAAAACTGCCAAAGATTTTAAAAGCAGTATTCAAACTTTAACCAAAAACATTTAAAACCAGAAGAGGTCCTATATGGCTACATCATTATTTGCTGCTGTTACGTTATAAAAGGTACACTAGGCTTAGGTAAGGTGCTTTCAGCATTTGCCTCCTAAACAGATATAGTCTGTGCACTGGCAGTCATTTTAGGTCAGTGTGGCTTCTGTGAGGATCATTTTAGGGACCCACTAAGGAATTTATTTTTGAGTGGTTTGTTTATTATAATGATAAAGTTATATATAAACATTTTCCAGTAACATTTTGAATGACTTTGAGAAATTCTTATTAAAATGTTACTAGTTGGAATGCCCGGTGGCTCATTCAGTTAAGCGTCTGCCTTTGGCTCGGGTCATGATCCTGGTGTCCTGGGATTGAACCTGACGTTGGGCTCCCTGCTCAGTGGGAAGGCTGCTTCTCTCTCTCCCTCTGCCTGCAGCTCCCCCTGCTTGTGCATGTGTGCATGCTCTCTCTCTCTCTCCCCCTCTGTCAAATAAAATCTTTAAAAAAATAATTTTTGAGATAGATACTGTGTTAGTCTGGTTGGGCTGCCATGACAGAATACCTTAGTCTGGGTGGCTTAAACCACACAAATTTATTTCTCAGAGTTTGAGAGCTGGAAGCCCAAGATCAAAGTGCCAGCATGGTCAGGTTCTGGTGAACCTGGTGAGGACTCTTCTTGACTTGCAGTTGACCACCCTCTCACTCTGTCCTCACATGGTGGAGAGAGAAGGAGTGAGCTCTCTGGTATCTCTTAGCAGGATGCTAATCCTGTTGGATCAGAGCCCTAACCCCTCCTTAATGATGTCATTTAACCTTTACCTCCATAAAGGCCCTGTGTCCAAAAGAGTCACATTGGAGGTTGGGACTTGAACATATGACTTTGGGGGAATGTGGGGACACAATTGAGTTAATAGCAGATAATGAGATCAGTGGTTTTCAGATTTTCCTCTTATATGAAGTCACTTAAAGGCACAAATTTCCCTCCAAAAAACAGCCTTAGTTTTATCTCACAAATTTTGATGTACTTTATATTTATTATCCTTCAGTTCAAAATATTTTCTAAATTTCATTTTTATTTATTTTTATATTCCATATATATTTTGTTTTTAATATTTTACATATTTTTTATTTTGTGATTTTTTTATATTTTGGTTTCATGGCTCCTTAGGTCATTGCTTAGTTTTCAAAAAGTAAGGGAATTTTCTAATTATGTTTGTTGATTTCTAACTTAATTCCACTGTGATTTGAGAACATACTTTGATTCGGTCCTGAAATTTATTGAGATATTGCGGGCCAGATTTTGTGTAGTCATTTTGTGCATATTTCATGTATATTTGAAAAGAATATTCTGTAGTTGTTGGTTACAATGTTCTATATATGTCAATTTCAAGTTTATTATATTGTTTAAATCTTCTAGCTCATTAGGTTTTTTGTACGCATGTTTGCTTGTAGCATTGTATTTAAAATCTCCTGTAGATACTTTCATCTTTTACTTTTGTTAATTTTGGCTTTTATATTTTGAAACTATGTGATTAGGTTGATAAAAATTTAGAATTGTTATATTTTCCTGGTAGGTTGATCATTTTAGTCATGCATCATTAGTATATAATATTGCAGTGCCCACCATTGTATCTTTTTTAGATTTAAACATTTAAACTCTCAAAACTATCATAGACTACAGTTTGCAACTGCCTACGCAGAAAGATACAGGTCAGGAAACAAAACTTGCCAGCCGGGAGCATCAGACATTTTGCCTATCAGTTAAGGAAGCATTCTCTTTGGTCACCTGCAATGACAGTTTTGTTGTGATGGAACTAAGGCTCACTTGGGTGTATTACAAGCCATTTTGACCTACAAGCCCAATCCACAGTAGCACATATCTCTTGTAACAACCCATGGCCATAGCTTATATGTGTTCTGCAAGGAATGTATAGACATCATCACGCTAAAAGAAATCTATAGCTTTTAGTGCTGCTACAACATGCATTCTTGACTTACTAAAACCTGCTGTAAATTAGTACTGGTGCCACTTTCCCAATAATATGAGAACTTTAGAACTCTTACTCCATTTACCCTCTTTCATCATATGCACTATTGTGTGTTTTATATCTAAATATATATTAAATCCCATAGGAAGTATTATTACTACTTTCTGCAACTAATAATGCATTTAAATTAACTCACATGTTTTCCTTTCTTCCGTTTTTCCAAACTGCATCTCCATGTTTCCATTTGTGTTAATTTTTCTTCTCTTCAGTATTTTTCTAATGCAACTCGACAGCTGACAAATTCTCTTTCACTTTCATTTGTCTAGAAATGTCTTTATTTTGTGCCTTTTTTTTTTGGTAGGATATTTATGCTGGATGTCAAATTTCAGAGTTGGCACTTCTTTTTTTTCTTCACCTTAGGACTCCAGTATTACAAAAATATTAGACCTTTTCACCATGTCCCTTGTGATTTTCATGTGATATTCTATACTGTTTCATCCTTTTCTCTCTGACCTTCAGTATGAATATCTTTTTCTGACCTTTCACTAGACTTCTCTTGTGGTGTCTAATCTCTTAAAGTCATCCATTGAGTTCTTAACTTTAATTATTGAAATGATCAGTTCTAGGATTTCTATTTTAGAAGTTATTGTTTCAAAATTCTCTACCTTGTTACATTGAATATATATATTTTTTAAAGATTTTATTTATTTATTTGACAAAGAGAGACAGCAAGAGAGGGAACACAAGCAGGGGGAGTGGGGGAGAAGCAGGCTTCCCGCTGAGCAGGGAGCCCGATGCGGGGCTCGATGCCAGGACCCTGAGATCATGACCTAAGCCAAAGGCAGATGCTTAACAACTGAGCCACCTAGGCGCCCCTACACTGAATATATTAATTGTAGCTATTTTAAAGCCTATCTGATAATCTGATATCTAGATCTCTTGTGGATACTGTTACATCTTCTCTTTTTTTTCTTAGTGTTTACTCACATATATTCCTTAAATGCATGTTTAATTTTGACTATGTGGTAGACATAGTATATGAAACGTTTTAGTGACAATTTGAGGCACTGTATATAGTATCCCCTTTTTCTTGAGAAGAAATGGTTTTGCCTTTGTCAGGCAGCTGGTCTGGCGGGGCGGGGGGATTACCTTAATCTAAAGGAGGATTGAATGATTTGAATCTAGTCTTCAATCCTTGTAAGGACTAGTCTACTTTGAGTTCACCCTGCCACCTAGAATATAGCCCTTTGGGGACTCAACTAAAAGCCTAAGTTGTTGACCCCTTCTCTTTTTTTTTTTATGCCCTGTATTCCAGCTTTAATCCTTCCATTTCCATGAGACTACGCAATATTTTTCTGATTTTCTTAACTTCTCAGTGTCTGCTTCTACTTGTAGAATTGGCAGTTGGCTTTTTGAGAATTCCTTCTCACTCAGATCTTGGCTTCATTAATCCTTATTACGTCGGTAGCCTTGCTGTCTTTTCAAACACATTATTCTCTTTATATTGTGTCTAGTGAAAGTTCTTGTTCTTAGCAAGAGGGTTGGTTCAGAGATCACCTACTCATCAACTGCTAGAGCCGTAACTCATGGTATCTTTTCAAAATTAAGCTTGTTAGCATATGGGAGTGTTACGGCATTTTGTGTATTGATTTTGTATGCAGAAAACTCACTGAATTCTCATTAATATTGTTTTTTATTTTTCTCTATGGGCAGTCATGACTCAAATAATTAGAGTTTTGTTTTCCCCTTTTCAGTCCTTTCATCTTTAATTTATTTTTGTCTTACTGGACTGGTTAGGATCTTTAATATACTATTGAGTGAAAGTGGTGTTTGCAGGTATTTTTGCCTTATATATGATCTTAAATTACATACCTTCAACATTTTGCCTTCAAATACGATCTTTGCCAAAGTTTGGTATTTTCTTTTTTCGGAGGACAGTTTGATAAGAGGTTAAAAAAAAAAACAAAAAACTCCTCATCTACTCTTTGTTTGCCAAAGGTTTTTATTATGGTTGGATATTGAATTTTATAAAATGTTTTCTCCCAAATAAGTGCTATTTTATTTGCATAACATTTTTTTCTTGCAGACGGCCATCTTGAATCACTTTAATTCCTCCTGTAGAATTTCCTACAGGAGTGAGTCCTTGTTGATGGTGAAATTTAGTATTTTTTGTCTTTAGGCAACTTTATTTTGTACTTACTGAAAGGGTATTTTTGCTGAGTAAGGAATTCTGGGTTGAGGGTCATTTTCTCTTAGTATATTGATATATTTTTCCATTGTATTCTAGTTTTGCTGTTGTGGAGTCCAGTGTAGGTTTTTATTGTCTTTTGTAATATTTGAGAAGGCTGCCTGTAATTGGCCTAATTTTAATTTTTTAATTCTTGGTTATTAGAATTTATTCAGGAAAAATGATTTTATTTTATATAAATAATCTTATTTGATCTTTTGATTAGTACTTTGCATATTTATATCATAATGATAGTTAAACTTTAAAGATAAATCTGAAATCCACTTCAGAATATTAGGACTTCAGAATTATTTGGAAATAAATGAGTTGTCTTATTTTTCAGTGTAGTTTTAGTGCTATGTATTTTATTTTAGCACGTATTATAAATAGCTTCACTCTAGGTACTGACTTTATGGTAGCAATTCCACTCTTTAAATTCACTGTATTATAACATGAATGTGTATGATACAATATGTCCCCCCGCCATCTCAGACCCCCAGTGGATGCTCAAAACCACTGATAGTACCCAGCCATGTATAAACCATGTTTTTTCCTATGCATACATACCTGTGATAGTTTAATTTATAAATTAGGCACAGTGAGAGATTAAAAACAAAAACTAATAATAAAATGAAACAGTTATTTACTGTAATAAAAGTCCTGTGAATGTGGTCTCTCTCTCTCTCAAAATATTTTGTACTCTACTTGCCCTTCTGATGATGATGATGTGAGATGATAAAATGCATAGATGGTGAGATGAAGTGAGATGAAAGATGTAGGCGTTGGGATGTAGTATTAGACTACTACTGATCTTCTGACCGTATGTCAGAAGGAGGATCATCTGCTTCTGGAATGTGGTTGACCACAAGTAGCTGAAACTATGGAATGCAGAACCACAGAGAAGGGGGACTACTGTATATTAAAATTTCCTATTGATCAGAATATTCACTAGAATATTGACCAAAAATTCATGGCTATTTATTATTAGAATTTGCTGTTATCTTGTCATTGAACTTCAAGACCCTGATATTAACACAATGCTTATAAATAAGGGCTTCCTGCAGAATTAACCATGTGGTGAATATCTGTGCTTTATAGAGCATGCAACTGAAGTGTCAGATATTTTTTATCCTATTTAATTCAGCTCTGTAAGGAAATACAAATTTCTGACTAAACAACTTTTAACATAACACATTGCTTGGTCTTAGAGTAAAGCAGAGAAAATAATATTTTGTGTTATTGATTAGTCTACTAAGGAAGACTAAATTTTATTAAGATGTTGAAAGAACAATAACAGTTAACCTCTCTTCCTGGTTAATAACTTCATAATAATAATGGCAGAAGCTAACATCAACTGATTTTAATTATGTAAATTTCTGAATGTTATACAAATACTAATTCATTTAGTTTGTTCAACCCTTTGAAGGAGTTGCCGTTATAATTCTCATTTTTCAAATGTGGAATCTAGATTTCCTGTTGGTTAAGACTCTGATTTTTTGTTTTAGGATATGATGACACCTATAAATTCGGGGAAAAAGACCATTTATTTAGTTTCATTCTTTGAAGGCTTACAACGCATTATTTTATTCACTGAAGATCCAAGGGTATTTAAAGCAACATATGAAAGTGAGAAAGCAGAGTTAGCAGAGCAAGAAATTGTGTTGGCCTTACAAGATGTTGGAATTTCTCTCGTCAACAATTACACAAAGCAAGAAGTAGCCTATATTGGCATTACAAGGTTAGATACATTAAAATTTAAGTAATTAGTTCTTTTAATCATTAAGAACGGTGATAGTAAAATCTAAAATTATTGTTTAAATTTCGTGTTTTGACTATTATACTAAGGTTAATGCTGATTTAAAAATGCTTTTGAGATTTTTTTGCCTTTTGAGATAAAGATATGACAAATCAGATTTATAAATCCTGTCTTATGTTGATGATCTCAGCTTTCAAAAAAGATTTATTCAGCTTATCAAAAGTATACTTTATTTAACATGTCATAAGGAAATATTTAATTTTCTATTACTGCCCACAGTCTAGGATACAGTATAGATGCTCCATAAATAGTTGTTGGAGGAATAAAGCCAATCATTCTTTAACTTGAGCTTGACACTTTTAAGATACAATAAGATAATATGGAATATATCATTCCCCTTGTAAATTATCACCAGTAAAACTCTTCTTTATGCCTTTAATATTCCTATTCATAAATACTTAAGGTAAAATTAATTTGTATATATTAGTGCCTAATTTGAGAGCATTTATAGATTCCAGTCTGTATAACCAGGGTAATATAGTTTTAACCCTTGAGTTTAAGCTGTCACACAATTTAAAGGTATATGGTATAGGTTTAAGTTTGTTTTTCTATATAAGTTTATCTAGAAACACCCTTGACTTTTCATTGAATGGAATCCATGCCATTTAAAAAGGAATATTAAAGACTATTTTCTTACAGATTTTTATTGTTCTCAAGATATGTGTTTATTATTTTCTAAGTGCTATGCTAAATGATGTGAGTGCAAAGAGGAATAATACACAGTTCCTGCCTCTCTGTTTATTAAGTGAATATAAATTTTAGAGGGAATTAATAAATAGAATACTTAAATAGCTTACATTTGTAAACGGAGTAATTTTAGAATGTAGAGGAACGTTTTTATTCTGTATTTAAGTCTTTCAGCAATTTTTCAGTGAGATTTGTTCCATCCCCTCTTAGATTACAATTTCACACGTTGTCTTATTTTAAACCCCCATTTTCTCTCATACCTCACTGCCTTGTATCCCATTTCAGTGAGAAAATGGAAGCAGTCAAAAGGGAATTTCCAAAGACCCACTCCCCCAAATCACAACTTTCTACCCATGAGCGTTTTTTACCTACACACTGTGCCAACATCTTCTCCACAGTTATCATAGATATGTGTGCTCCTATTTAAAAATATTTTTCAACTTTGCATTCTATACCATTTCCTCTTGCCTCCTTGAGACATTGATCCCACAATTCTTTCTCTCTCCTACATCAATAATTTTTGGCTCTCTGTTGGGTTATGCCCATCAGTATTATTTATCTCAACTTAAAAAATTCTCTTGAGCCTACTTTCCCTGCTACCTACTGCCCACTTTTTAGCTTCCTTTTATAGGCAAACTCCTCAAAAGTGTTATCAGTTACAGAAGAGTTTAATATACTAACTATATCCAATAATTATTTTACCCATTCTTTCTTCAGCTACTCCAGCAGGAGTTTGCTGTCAACACACCATGACACTGGTCTTGTCAAGATCACCAGAGACCAGTCCTCATGTTGCTTAAGTTTATAGCACTTATACAGATCCCATCTTTTTTTTTTTTTTTTTTTTCTTCTTGTTAGTTTTTCTTTGCCTTGACTTTCAGGATACCTCACCACCTTGGTTTTTCTTTCTATCCCAGAATTCTCCACTTTATGTGTTGGTTCCTTGGCTTCTTCTCAGCTGCTTAATACTGGGTGCCCTGGAGCCCTCAGACTTGAGTCCTCTTCTCTTCCCTGTTTCAAATACCATAATATATACCAAAAAATTTAGCAAATGTTTCTTTAACCAGAACTTTGTCCCAAACTCCACACTTGTATATCTACCACCTACACAAAATATCTACTCTTATATCGAAGAGACGTCTTAAACTTCATATGCGTAAAACCTAATTCCTGACATCCTTCTACAAAACCTGCTTCCCCTTTGGAGTTAATGACAGCTCCCTCCTTCTGGTTGCTCAGGCAGAAAGCTTTGGAATCATCTTTGATTCCTCTCTTTATTTCACACTCCACATCTAATCCATCGAGAAGTTCTGTGCTGACCCTACCTTCAAGACAGACACAGGTCTGACCATTTTTTACTGCCTCACTGTTCTACCCTAGGCAGAGCCATCACCGTTCTTCTCCTAACTTACTCCATTAAACTAACCAGTTTTCCTGCTTCTGACCTTCATCCTCACCCCTTCCCCTCTCTCCCAACACACAGTGTATTCTTCATAAAGCTTAAGTCAGATCACGTTGATGATCTCATCTTTCAGTGATTCCTCATTTCACAATAAAACTCAGTCTTTACAATATTCTATAAGGCTTTACATTATTTGGCTTCCCACTGTCTGTCTTACTTCATCTTCTACTCTTAGTGTGTTCCAGGCCTGCCTGCCTCCTTGCTCTTCTTTGTACACTATAGGCGTGCTCTGCTTTTGAGTCTTTGTTGTAGCTAGTCCCTGTCCCAGGAATGCTTTTCCCTTGTCTGCTGCGTAACTCCCTTATCTCCTGTGAGGTTGCTGAAGTCCTGTCTTGTCAGTGACACCCTGGCTGAGCACTCTGTTTCAGTACTGCAGCCCCCATCACTTGGCGTATCTCAGTACTCCAGATCACCCTGTCTTACTTTTTCTTTTTTCAAAAGCATTTTCACTTCTTAACTATATTATGATATACAAATTTATTATATTTACTATTTATGGGTCTGTCACTCCGCTAAAAGCTCTAGGATGGCAAGGATGTTTACTGATAATATCTCTACCACCTTAATAGTGTCTGGGTAAAAGTCTAAGCATTGATTGAATTCTTATTTTTAAATCGGTAGTGTACTTGCATATAACTGAAGATATTGTAAAATTTTACTGAAGGTTTTACAATTCATGTAATAAACCAGGTAAAATGAAAACGTTTATAAATTAGCACCATGATTTTTCTTTCATATATAAGTTCTGATGTGGTTTGGGAGACAAAGCCCAAGAAGAAGGCAAGATGGAAGCCAATGAGTGTAAAGCACACTGAGAAGTTAGAGAAAGAATTTAAGGAATATACTGAATCTTCACCTTCAGAAGATAAGGTTATTGAATTGGACACTAACATTCCGGTAATATTTTTAAGTACTGATGTGAAGTTTTAATTTTTACCTGTTGTAATTAGATAAATCACTAGTGAACTTTTAAGGAAAGTCTGGTTTCCTTACAAAACAATGAATTCTATCATATATACTTTATTCAAAATACTTTACAGGAATAGTTGTCTGTATTAACAACTCAGACTTTCTCTTAAGATGCTAATGAGATCTATTCCTTAGTTAACAAGAAGCCAATATGTTGTTTTACTTATTATACTTTTTAAATTATTTTTTCTTTTACCACTTTATTAGTAAATTTATATAAAAAGATACAACTAAGCTATAAGGATTATGAAAATTTTTGTGAGTTGTATTGGAAAGATTCAGTCTAAACCTAGTCAGATTGTAAAGATCCAGTCTAATCAACTATTTAGGCTACTGTTTTAATTAACATTATCTTTAAAGTTTTCGGTACAAATTTCTAATTTTAATCAATTATGAATACAGAGAAATACAACAGTCTGGGGGGGGTATTTTTCAGGTTCGCTTCACACCTAGTGGTACTAACATGAAAATTCTGCAGCCACATGTAATAGCTATAAGAAGAAATTATCTTCCAGCATTGAAAGTAGAATATAGCACATCCGCACATCAGTCATCATTTAGAATTCAAGTTTACAGAATACAGGTGAGTCTGAAAAGATAGTCAAATTGTATTCATAAGGAACATAGCAATAAACCAAATGTATTCCCATGGTCTCTCTTACCTAGTACTTCAGTTTCAGTGTGGATCTAGACTGCTTGATTCCTTCTACTTATTAAATCCTGTTATTCTAGTCGGGTTCTGTAATTAACATATTAATATACTGACCTGTTTTTATTTTCTTAGATCCAAAACCAGATACATGGTGCTATATTTCCATTTGTGTTTTATCCAATTAAACCTCCCAAGTCGGTCACCATGGATTCAGGTTTGTTTATATTTTTAGATTGCCATAAAAATGTTTGTATCCTCTGTATGATTTATTTTATTATAAAAACAAACCATTCTCAAGTTTAGTTTCTGTGGGATCATTAGAAAATTAAACCTTTTGTAAAGGAACAAGTACTCAACTAAGGTCAACAACACATTGAATTCTGAGGAGAAGATTAATTAGGAATATATATTTAAATTTTTAGAAATATTACTGATTTGTAAATTCCTGATTTAAAAGCTACTAGGACCTTTGAATAAATTGTGAAGAAAATCAAATTCAGAGTGGTTTCTAACCATGGAAAATGCCCTGTATTCTCCAGATGAGTGTAATGACAAGTCTGTTCTTCCATCCTCTGCTTCTCCCTCATATTCCTTCTTTCTCTGCTATCCCTCTTCCCCTTTCTCTTTCCTCCTTCCTCCCCTTGCTTCCCACCCGCCACATCCCCACCACTGGCTCTGAACTATCTAAGGCGGTATTGATAATCTGCTTGGAAGTTTTTCACCATTGCACATGCCTAAGCCCCTCTACCTGGAAGTCCCTGACAAGACCCTGAAATCTGTGTTTTCACAGTGTTTCCCTGGTGATTCTAATGCATATTTCTACTTTAAAATCACTAATTTAAGGATTTATCCTTAAAGTGAATATAGATACTTAAAAAAAATCCTGGGGTCTGAAATAAGACTGTAATCAATCTTACAAAGGGTAATTTTAATTGACACTCATGATTTAGTAAATCTCCATTGTGATGTGTATTAAATTGCAAGAAAATGCTTATCTTTTGCTTAAAGCATCATGGGATTAATCATATTTATTAACTTTTGTAGCTCCAAAGCCCTTTACAGATGTCAGTATTGTCATGAGATCTGCAGGGCATTCCCAGATATCACGTATTAAGTAAGTGTCTTAATACATTTCTGTGTGTTTATTTAATGTTTTGATTTAAATATGTGAATTAATTATACTCTTTAAAGAATCTATTTCAGGTGAGGCAAAGGTTTACATGCAAAATATCAAATTACAAAGATTAGGAAAATCTGTTTTATAATCTTGAAGAGTCAGAAGGCTGTGAATGAAATGTACTTATATTTTATTTTCTCATTTAAGTTTTCTATAATTACTGCATATTGTTTTAGAAACAAGAAAAAAATGGTATCTTAAAATTGTCACCACCCAGTCTAAGAAATAGAATATTGACAGAAACATCCATTGATACGTTACTCCCCTATTTCTTGTTTTCTCCACCCTGTCAACCACGATAAACACTAACTTCATCTCTTATGTTTTAAAATATAATTTTATTGTACATATGTACCTAAACATTGTGCTTCTTAGTTTTCCTTTTTTTCCTAATTAAAAAAAAATTTTTTTTTTAAACTGAATGTATACTTTTAGGACTGGGATTTTTCATTCAACTTTTTACCAAAATTTATTATTTTTGCTGTATTCGCTAGAGTTTATTATCACTAATGTGTAATATTCTCACAGTTTACTTACCAGTTTTCTCTTCATAGGCATTTTCACATTTTGAGTTGGTTGCTGTTACGAACAATGTTGCCATGACATTTTTATTTGTTCATTTAGAAAATCCTAAATTTCAACATTCTAATAGTTATCGAATGCTTTTTTTCTCAACTGATTTTCTTTTTTCTTTTTTTTTTTTTTAAAGATTTTATTTATTTATTCATGAGAGAGAGAGAGAGAGAGAAGCAGAGCGAGAAGCAGGCTTCCCCACTGAGCAGGGAGCCCGATGCGGGACTCGATCCCAGGAGCCTGGGATCATGACCTGAGCCGAAGGCAGACGCTTAACCATCTGAGCCACCCAGGCGCCCCTCACCTGATTTTCTTAATGCACTTAATCGATGGTTTTTAAATGTTTTCTACTTTGTACTACAGGTATTTCAAGGTGTTGATCCAAGAAATGGACCTCAGGTTAGATCTTGGGTTTGTCTATGCTTTAGCAGAACTTATGACAGAAGCTGAAGTGACTGAAAAAACCGAGGTAAGATTTAGAATGATAGCATTGACGGGAACTGTTGGGGAAGGAGGAGGACTAAAAAAATTATAAATTTTTAAAGATATTAAAATGGTTTCGATCCATCTTAAAAATAAAGTTTTTAAATTTTTCTTATGCTGCTACGGTGGGTAAATTGGTAGAAATCACATTTTCAGATTATAGATGAAGAAAGCAAGACAAGTTAAAATAGCCTTTTGAAGGTGAGTTAGCGAATAGGAAAGGTTTTAGGCCCATAGTAGGGAGAAGTAGTCATGGTTCACACCACTGTTTTTTCCTTTTTTATTTTCCTGGGTTACTTCTGTTTTGATTAATAACTTAGAAATTTGGGTGTGACAAGAATATTCAATGAGAGAACGGATAAAAATAAAAGGTACTATCTTATTTGTGACTGATGGAAAGACTGTAAAATCACAGTGATGGGGTAGCTCAGATATGATCTCTTTTTCAGCTGTCTTCATAAAAAGAATTCTGAAGATAATATAAATTATGTGGATAAGGACAAGGACAAATATACTTTTTTAATCTTTCAATAGCAGTTTATTGAAATACAGTTCACACATCATACATTTTAATCATTTGTGGTGGACAGTTCAGTGGTTTTTAATGTATTTACAGAATTGTACAGCCATCATTACTATCTCATTCCAGAATATTTTCATCCACCTAAAAAAGAAACCATCCCAATCCCATACAACCATTAATGTACTTTGTCTATAGGATTTCTTGTTCTAGATATGTGGAATCATACACTTTGTAGTTTTTTTTAATGGGCTTCTTACACTTAGCATAATGTTTACAGAGTTCATTCGGTTGTAGCATGTTTCAGTACTTCATTCCTTTTTATGGCCAACTAATACTCTATCGTTATGGATATATTCCATATTATGTATATCCAGTACTCTGTGGATATGCCACATTTTGTTTATCCATTCATCAGTTAGGGATGTTTGGGCTATTTCCACATTTTTGGCTATTATGAATAATACTATGAATATTTGTGAAGTTTGAAATCATAAAAAATGTATGATTCTTATTTCAGTGCATCATCATCAACACTTGTTTTCATCTATCCTTTGGATTCTAGCCATCATAGTGGGTGTGAAGTAGTTGACCTTGGGCATCTTTTGATGTGTTGATGTACCACTTACATATTTTCTACAGAGAAATGTCTGTTCAGATCCTTTGCCTTTGCTAAATAGGTTGTCTCCTTTTTATTGAATTGTAATATTCTGAATACAAGTCCCATACCAGATAAATATGATTTGCAAATATTTTCTCTCATTCTGTGTGTTGTTTTACTTCCTGATGTCTTTTGAAGCACAAAAGCTTAATGTTAATGAAATCCAAATTCTTTTTAGTTGTTGTTCATGTTTTTGGTGTCATTTTTAAGAGTCCTTTGCCAGATCTAAGGACGCTTGACCAACTGTTCCACCCAGGCATCCCAACTATTAATCTTATCAGGGTCCTCTTGTATGTAATAAGTTGCTTTTCTCTTCTTGTTTTTAAGATTTTCTCCTTGTCTTTGACTTTCAACAATTTAACTTTTATGTATCTGTTGTGAACCTCTTTCCATTTATGCACTAGGAGTTCATTTGGCCTCCTGGATATGTTACTGTTTTTCATTGAATTTAGAAAGTGTTCAGCTATTATTTCTTCACATATTTTTTCTGCTTTTTCTCTTTTCTCCTTCTAATACTCCCATGTTGTATATGTTAGTACACTTAATGGTGTACCACATTTCTGAGACTGCTGATTTTTCCTCTCTTTTTCCTCTGTTCTCCAGATTGCATAATCTTTAACACTTCAAGTTCATGATGAAACAGGTGCATTTAATCTAGCATATAATGAAGTGTTTATATTTCTTCTGTCAGCTCAAATACACTGTTAGGTTCTTCTAGTGAATCTTCCATTTCTGTTACAGTTCTCAATTCCAGAATTTCTAATAGATTTTTTAATAAATAATTTTTCTCCCTCTGTATTGATATATTATTCTGTTTGATAAGACATGGTCATCATAATTTCTTTTACTTTTCTAAATATGGTTTTCTTTAGTTCTTTAGATTTTATTTATTTATTTGATAGCATGAGAGAGCACATGCGGGGGAACAGCACAGGCAGAGGGAGAAGCAGACTCCCCGCTGAGCAGGGAGCCCCATGTGGGGGGTCGACCATGACCCGAGCCGAAGGCAGATGCTTAACCATCTGAGCCCCCCAGGCACCCCAGGTTTTCTTTAGTTCTTTGAACATATTTACAGTGGTTACTTGGAAGTATTTTTCTTTTAATCCAGCCTGGTCACATCTCACATGCAGTTTCTTTTGCCTAGCTTTTTCCCAGTGTATGGGTCATACATTCCTATGTCTTTGCATATATCATCATTTTTGGTTGGGAACTGGACATTTTAGATGATACACTATAAAACCTGGCTACTGGTTCCTCTCTCTCCAAAGCTTATTGTTATTAGCTTATTTGTTCATTCTATGACTGGTTAGATTTTTTTATTGAAGTCTATCCTAGCCACACCCCTGACGTTTCCTGCATTCTTAAGGTTTGGGTGTTGCTCCTCAGAGACATGAAGATCTGGGATACTCACCCTTACCCTGGAATAAGTGGTTTTGGGGCAGGGCCCTCTTCCTCTCTTTTCACAACCACGCCTAGCTATTGAGCTCCACTAATTGCTGGCTGATTGCTTTATTTTTTTTTTTCCACAGTACCTTAGGCCATAAATTGTTCTGCAAACTAATCAAACTTGGGCTTTTTTTTTTTTCTTTTTTGAAGGAACTGATCTGGAGATCAGTGTTTGATATTTGTTCTAGCCCCAGGGGGACCCCTTTAAACTGTCTCTTTCCCCATTTTGCTCATGAAAACTAAGAGACCTACAGTTTAGCCTGTATCTTCATTGAATCAATGATTTTCCTTATAGTTACCTTTCCCTATGACATTCACTGTTTCCTAAAGCTCAGGCTTGAACTTCTTCACACTCTCTTGCAGTCGAAGGCAGTTTCTTTGGGAAAAGATAGGAGTGAAAGTTTCCTTGTCCCCCAGGTAAAACTGTCTGAACCAGAGCTTCAGAGCTGGGGGTGGAACAAGAGGGATGAGAACCCAGTATTCTCATCGGTATCACACCCAGTTAGAGCCTTTGTTCCCATGAGTAGAGAGAGGCTGGGCAGCAGGCTGGAAGCTCCCACATCCCCCATAATGTAGCATTAGCAGCTGGTACCTGGGGGCAGGATAAGAAATGCTGACATCTTTTGCCTCCCGGGAAGAAAGTACTCCTGACTGGAGACTGGGCAGAGAGGGAGCTTTGTGTTCCTGAGTATAGCAGTCTAGAGTAGAGTTACGGCTTGTTGAACTAGGAGGGGGATCTGAGAGAATGGTACTTGTTCAAATACTACAGATTCACTTTTCTTACCAAATTTTTGTAGATTTTCTTGAAAAGATGTTTTATTTGCATCGCTTCTCGGCCTTTTGGCTAAGATCAAGTGAAAAGATGTTTTATTTGCTTATACCATTAGGTTCATTCATAGTGGCCTTAAATTTTTTTTATTTTAATTTTTTAAATATTTATTTATTTTAGAAAGAGCAAGCATGCAGGGGGCGCATGGGGGAGGGAGAGAATCTCAAGCAGACTCCCCACTGAGTGTGGACCCTAATGCAGCGCTCCATCCCATGACCCCGAAATCATGACCTGAGCCAAAACCAAGAGTCAGATGCTTAAGCGACTGAGCCACCCAGGCACCCCCAATTTTTTTTTTTTAATTTAACCAGTTTCACTGGGGAGCTGGTTTAAAGAACCCTTCACACTGTCATCCCAGAAGTCAATTTCCAGATCCTATACTTTTAATAAGGCTATCATTTTAACATTATTGATGATAGGTCAAAATGTGAACGTTGGGGCCATTTCTCAACATACAGAAGTAACTTAAATTTGTGTTTAAAAGAGAATTAGTGTTGATTATCAAAAATGAAAGCCATAATCATCGCTTCATACAACATCATTTTCAGTGCCTTCCCCTTTTTGACTATATCGTGGGCCTCTGTAGATGTCAGTGAGGTATTTACTAAAAAGCTACAAATGAACTATGATTATATTTAAAGAAACAAATATTCCTAAGCAAGTGTTGATGCACTAGATTATCATAGCTTTTTGGGATAACTCTGTAGTCCCAAGAAGAAAAGCTTAGTGTTTTTTAATGGATTAGATGGGAACAAAGAAGATATGCTTATCAATTTGTGAGTTAGGGACAAAGCTTTACTAACAGGTGTTAGGTTCCCTTCTCATGCAATAACTTTCTAGTCACGAACAGTGTTGAATATGGATGTTATAGGGGAGTGTTCTGCAGTGTCTGAGCTGTTGACTTAAATGCCTCATACAGATCCTTTAAGTTGTTAATACTTTTTGTTCCTTTATAGATCGAACTTTTTCATAAAGATATAGAAGCTTTCCAAGAAGAATATAAAACAGCTTCATTAGCAGATTCATCACAAGTCAGTCTCTATGAATACTTCCATATATCTCCTATCAAGGTAGAGGAAATAGAAGTCATTTTTATTATCCTCGATAATCTAGGTCTGTTTGGGGAGATGAGCATATAAATTATGTTCTCTGTTAGTATATAAATTCTGTAAAGTAAAGTAGCAGGAATAATCCTTTGAAATTTTTATTTATACTTCTAACAGTTTTTCACTATATAGAAATAATATTGGAGCCACCTACAACATGTGTTTATATGTTTATATCTTGACCTAACATTTTGTTACCTTAGTTTTCTGTTAACGTATTTAATGACAGTTTTCAAAATTGTGTGTGTGTGTGTCTGTTTATTGGTATAATTGATATATACATTAGTTTCAGATGTATAAGGTAATGATTTGATATTTGTATACACTGTGAAATGAGCACCACAGTAAGTTAGTTACCATCCATAACCGCACAGTGTTAAAAAAAGTTTTTTTTCTTGTGATGAGAACTTTAAGATTTATTTACTCTCTTAGCAACTTTCAAATAATGCACTATAATATTACTAACTATAGTCTGTAAGTTTTAAATTAATTCATGAAGTAACCTTGATTTAAGAAGTGAAGACTGAATGGAACTAAATATAAGTTCTTAACACAGAGTTTCTGAATTACATAACACTGAAGAAAATTATTGTATAGCTATGCATATATATATACACACATATATAAATGCATACAATACAAAAATGTGAAAGTTTGTTTTAACTGATTGCAACATGCTAACTTAATTCTAATAGTTGAAACACTGAGTTATTTTCAACAACTTCAAGTTCTAGATTATTATTTTTTAAAAATATACAAATTATTATTTTCATAGCTTTACCAAAAGAATTGGATTGAGCCTAAATACCGTATTAGCTTACATTGCTGAATTTAAAATTTAAATAGAGCTGTATTCAATTTTAAATTCTTTTAACTTTTCACTTAATTTCGGCATAATCCAGGTAACTTTGAAATCTTATGGTGTAGTAAATTTAAAATAAGAGTAAATTTTAAAGGTTAAAATTGTCATCTTGAAGATAGTGCTTTCAATATTTATCTCTTTATCTCTTTAGTTGCATTTAAGTGTTTCACTGAGTTCCGGCAAAGAAGCTAAAGATTCAGAACAACAGGAAGGACTGATGGCTGTTCGTTCTTTAAATCTTTTGCTGAAGAGTATTGGTGCCACCCTTACAGATGTACAAGATGTAGTTTTTAAGTATGTTTAATATTCAAATCTATAAATTGATGAAAAGTCCATTTTATATTTACCTAAAAACTTTACAAGTGAAAAAGTGTGTAAAGGATATTGGAGGTCATAGACGGGTTATTATTAAATAATTTCCTTAAGAAAGAGGGAGAGAGGCCATACAAGTTTGTGCATCACATAAGGCCTTTCTGGCCTATGGAAGGAATCCTAAGAACCTGTGTATGCCCAGAGGTATGGTGCTTAAACCATGTGGCTTCAAGGCTTCTAGGATCGAGATTCTTCAAAACGTATGTGACTAGAACAAAATGAATGCCATGGTAGGGGAAGTGAAGGGATTCGTTTAAATGTTACAGCCAAGAATATACATTTTAATGTGAGTTATAATGGAGGCTATTAGGGTATCTGAATGGAGACTTCAGATGAGAGTGACCTTTTCAGGTAGCACCCAGAACTGTTATTAAGAACCATAGTAAGAATCAGTGAGTCCAGTAGGATGTAACTCTAAATCTAGATAAAGTTAGGTAACAAATTTAAAGAACATAGGTTTGAAGACATTGGGAATGGGATGAGATTTCTCATCCAGCTTCTGTTTTACCAGCTAACAGAGAGCTTCCCAAGCAGTGGATCCGTATATGCTGTGAATAGGTTAGCAGGCAACCGACCTTGGTTCCTCAGCTGTCAGCTGATCAGACGGGACCTGCCGCAGCTGAAGTCTGGCCGTTCTTGAGCAGCCTCTTCCATTCACCTCAGCGTGCCAGACATTTTCTGTGTGGGCCATGACAGGGCAGAGTTGAAAAATCCAGTCCATGTCCGTAAGTGGGATCCAGAGGGTCTCTGAATCCGCTAAAGGATGTAAAAATATGTATATATTGGTGGCTTTTCTGAGGATAAGATCCATAGCTCTCATGAGAGTCTTAGAGAGTTCTTTGACCAGAATGCACATATGTAAAAGAGCACGTTTTCTGATTGGCTTGGGAAATGTACAGAAAGGAAAGATTGAGAGAAAAATTCTAAAGAAAATGAAACCATTCGTGAATATTAAAAAAATTCTCTTCCCCTCTCTCCCTCTTCCTCTCCTTCTACCCATACCCTCACACATATTTATGTGTTTTTCAGGCTTGCATTTTTTGAACTGAACTATCAGTTCCATACAGCATCTGAACTACAGTCTGAAGTAATAAGACACTATTCAAAACAGGTTTGTCTGAGATTATTTTATAAAGGGACAGATTGATATAGTGAAACTGTGTCTGTACATGTATAATGTAGATTTGACGAGAAAGTGAATAATCATTTTCAAAATCTTAAAAATTTTTTTTTTCTCAGAATTGAGAAAGAAATTGAGCTGCGCCACCATTTCAATTTTTTGCCTTTCTGTTTTTTAGCCACTGACAGAAATGTTTTCTGGATATGTGTGGACTTAAACAAGTATCTTTAAATAAAATATTAACTAATGCACCAAACTTCAAAAAAATAGTTTCAAGGGAAACTATTAGTAACTAACTGAATACAGGCTATTTTTAATGTAATTATGTTGTTGAGTCAGTTAGATATGTTATTTTGATGGATTTTTTTTTCCACCTTTAGAAAGACTCCAGTATCTTAGGATATAATTTATAGAGTGTCTGAGACAGCTGTTCTGTAGTGGACAGAACACTAAGCCTGATTCAAGGTGTCTGGGTTTGGATTCCAGTTTTGCTATTTACCTACTATGTGACACTGGGCGTCATTTGACCTGTATGTTTATCCAGTCTATAAAATGATGGTGGTAATAGCAACTGTCACACATAGTTGTAAAAGTGAAAGCATTTTGAGTATTCTAAAGCTTTATGTAAATATGTCATATTATTTCTAATACTCTAACACCAAATAACTTTTTAAAAACAAAACTAGTGAGCGCCCGGGTGGCTGTCATTAAGCGTCTGCCTTCGACTGAGGTCCTGGTCCCAGGGTCCTGGGATTGAGCCTCGCATCGTGCTCCCTGCTCTGTGCGGAGCCTGCTTCTCCCTCTCCCACTCCCCCTGCTTGTGTTCCCTCTCTCACTGTGTGTGTCTCTGTCAAATTAAAAAAAAAAAAAAAATCTAAAACAAAACTAGTGATAAATAGGCTGATATGGTGTAGGTGTTGAAATTGATGATAAGGATGTTAGCCTAAAAAAAAAACTGGATGTGTGTACTGAATATTAAAATTTTTTTCTGATTGACTGAATTGATTAATGTTTGTATTTCATTTTTAGGCCATTAAGCAAATGTATGTACTCATTCTTGGACTTGAAGTTTTGGGAAATCCCTTTGGCTTGATTAGAGAATTTTCTGAAGGTGTGGAAGCGTTTTTTTATGAACCGTACCAGGTAATAAAATAGTTATTCTTGCATTGTGTAATATATCTCTAATACTTTTGAACAAATAACACATTCCAAATTGTTAACTTAAAACGTAGGTGTAAACAGATTTTGGGAGACACAACAAAAGAACGTGATTTTGCAGCAGAGAACAGTTAAGAGGTTTTGAGAAATTTGGGAGGGGAATTTTAACCTTTTCCCTCAAAATTTAAACTTAAGACTTTAGTAAGATATACTGAATTTTAAGTATTCTGTTGGAATATTAAAGGTGGGTAAACTTTTTCTGTAGTAGAAGTAAGATCACCATGGGTAGGCAGTCTTGCCTTGCACTGTTGTGTGGGACAGGAAAAATAACTGCAGGCAGACACCGTGCAAAGCAGTCTTAACCATTGGCAAAAATTAGGATTGTTTTGTGTCCCTTCACATTTTCTGTTAAAATATTCAAATCTCTCCTACTTTGACTTTTAAATGTAGAGGGTAATGAAAAAGTAAAACTGTTACTTATATTGTTTAGTATAATTTAAAACATAAATATTAAGAATTAAAGTGCAGTTATTTCTTTTACAAAAATTATCAAGAGTAGTTTGTGCTTATGTTCTCATCCTGTAACTTACAGTTTGAAGCAAACATGATTTGTACACACTGGTGAATAGTCCTATTCCTGAGTTTGGATCAACTTATTCTTTGTACTTTCAATGTCATGAAATATCTCTGAGAATTTTGTTCATGTGAAGTTTTTTGCTGGTGTCACTTCCTCTAGGATATTTTTATTTTTGTCACTACTGCTTTCTTCATTTATATCAATAAGTTCACCTTTAAAAGAAAATGTAACCTTTGTTATTATTATTTGACCGTTTAGGGAGCCATCCAGGGTCCCGAAGAGTTTGTGGAGGGGATGGCATTGGGACTGAAGGCACTAGTTGGTGGAGCTGTTGGTAAGAAAGAGAATGCCTACTGGGTGTGCTTACGCTAGAAAGCAATGATACCTTTGCTTTTACTAAAAATAATTATCATTTCTGCTAGGTGGATTAGCTGGTGCTGCCTCCAAAATCACCAATGCTATGGCTAAGGGGGTGGCAGCCATGACTCTGGATGAAGACTATCAACAGAAGAGAAGAGAGGCCATGAATAAGCAACCAGCTGGTCTCAGAGAAGGCATCACTCGTGGAGGAAAAGGCTTAGTGTCTGTAAGAAATTTCCCAGGGTTGTGAACCCATCAGGGATTATCTTTTTTTTTTTTATTTGAGAGAGAGAGCATGAGCAGGGGGGAGGGGCAGAGGGAGAGGGAAAGCAGACTCTCTGCTGAGCAGGGAGCCCGACCCGGGGCTCAGTCCCAGGACCTGAGCCGAAGGCAGACACCTAACTGACTGAGCCACCCAGGCGCTCCTCAGGGAAGATCTTTTAAAGCTATATTCTTCGAATAAGAAAATGGACATTTAACTTGGACTCCTTCAAGCATTATTTAGATATTGGAGGAGCAGTGAGTTGTGTCCTATATAAAATATGTCAGTAGCCTCTAAAGCATTCTCTTTAGCTAAGATACTTAGTCAATATATTTCTAGATGTATTTCTGTTTCAGTGCTTTCTAGATTCTTACAGTGTCTAGAAAGCAGAACTCTCTATTTTTTTGTAAGCCAGACTTGGTTCTTTAACATCATGTCAACGTATAAGTTTTCGATTGTGCTTTTCCTCTAGGGTTTTGTAAGTGGCATAACAGGAATTGTTACAAAACCAATCAAAGGCAAGTATATTCCTTTGGGTGATCTATATTACCAGGTCTTTCACAAATTGATTCTGTTTTCGTTCTTGATCCACTTGCCTAAACCTTTGTCTTTTTTTCTTTCTAGGAGCTCAAAAAGAAGGAGCAGCTGGTTTCTTTAAAGGTGTTGGGAAAGGTTTAGTTGGAGCAGTAGCAAGGCCAACGGGAGGCATCATAGACATGGCCAGCAGTACATTTCAGGGAATAAAAAGGTATGTTCTCTTTGGTGGAAGATCCGAGTAAAATGCTTAAAACTATGAGAAATAAAATAAATCAGCTGTATGACTTAAGGCCCTTAGTTTTGAACCTTATGGCAAGTTATGTATTATCTTCCTAATTCCCCTTTAAGTTGTTTCCTTTGTATCATTTCACCATCACAGAGCTCTCCTTTATTGGTCGTTCATTCCCAGCAGCCTTGGCAGGAAAGGTTTGGCAAGTTAAGCAAGTTTTACTTACTTATTATAAGTACATTATAATAATGTAATGCCATATATATGATATACATATACTATATATATCTGTAATGCTATCTACATATATAATAATGTAATGCTACATATATGTATACATACACACACACACCCATGAGTTATAAAATTAGCAAATATAATTAGGAAGTAAAGAAGGGCATTTTAGATTCCTGGTTCAAACTCAGCTTGTGTTCCCTTCCCTTTATGATCTTACTTTGTTATGAAACTATTACATCTATTTCCTTTATTTTTCTTCATTTGTGCAAATAATTTTAAAACATGCTCTCTCGGGGCACCTGGGTGGCTCAGTCGTTAAGCGTCTGCCTTCAGCTCAGGTCACGATCCCAGGGTCCTGGGATCGAGCCCCACATCGGGCTCCCTGCTCAACGGGAAGCCTGCTTCTCTCTCTCCCACTCCCCCTGCTTGTGTTCCCTCTCTCTCTGTGTCTCTTTCAAATAAATAAAATCTTTAAAAAAAAAATGTTCTCTCTTCTTCCAAGTTAAATTGAGCTTAGGATTGAAATTTGATAGTTGCACTATTTTTTTGTTTTGTTTTTTTTAAAGATTTTATTTATTTGTCAGAGAGAGAGAGCACAAGCGGGGGGAGAGGCAGAGGCAGAGGGAGAAGCAGGCTTCCCACTGAGCAAGGAGCCCGATGTGGGACTCGATCCCGGGATGCCGGAATCATGACCTGAGCTGAAGGCAGCCACTTAACTGACTGAGCCACCCAGGCATCCCGATAGTTGCACTATTGTTATCTCTGCTCTAGAGATTTGTAACACATACAACAGTTGATTAAATTCATGCTAATGGGACCTAACTTAGAAAGTTAGGTGGGTCAACATCTCCCTAATATATTCCTTCCTTCCTGCTTTATAGAGATAAGTAATGTCATCATATGAGCTGCTTCCCTCAAATTAGTATTTCATATTGCTTACTATAATTGGGTGTTTTCAGTTTTGTAATTTAGAGTTAAGATGGGGGAAAAAGGTTCAATCTCTTCTACATGTAACTTTAAATTCACAAATAGAATTTGTTTACTTGTCATCAGGGAAGCTCAAAACTCAATGAAACATAAGTAATTCAAGATCTAGAGAGAGCTATGCAAGTATATGCCCAGAGTTGCTAAAATAACCTTACATTTTCTAAAATTTTATAATCTGTACTAAGCTGCATTACCTTTAAGGATTAATGTAAAGTAAAACATTTTTAATAAAAGTAAAAGTAAAACATTTTTAATAAAAATAACACTAAGAACTATTGAAGATGTACTTGTGAAGAAGGATATTAAAAACAGAAAGGGGGTGCCTGAGTGGCTCAGTCAGTTAAGCATCTGCCTTCAGCTCAGGTCATGATCCCAGCATCCTGGGATCAAGCCCCATGTTGGGCTCTCTGCTCATTGGGAGCCTGCTTCTCCCTCTCCCTACCACTCTCCCTGCTTGTACTCTCTTTCTGTCAAATAAATAAATAAAATTAAAAAAAAATAAGATAAAAATAAAACCAGAAAGGAAAAATGGGCTATGAGAATAATATATAAGAATATAAATGGGCGAATAAATCTAATTGAACTGTATAAAATCAAGATTGGAACCAAAATATTAAAAATGATAAGTTGCAATTTGAGAAGTGAATAATTGGCATTAAGCATTTTCATATATTATTTACAAAGGGGATATGCTCTATATTCTACATAAGACGTGTATCAACTAGACACTCTTTTAATCACGCAAGGAACCAGAAACAAACATGATTGGCAAAGCTCCTGTCCACATACAGCTTATATTCTCTTGGGAGAGCAATAAACAAAAATAGGTAAACTGATAAATATGATATGCTAAATGGTGAAAAATGCTATGAAGGAAAATAAAGCAGCATGAAACAGAACATCCGAAGTGGTGAGGAGGAAAGTTGCTATCTTGTATATAAGACATTCAAGGCAGCTTTACTGGTAAGATTAAACTAGAGAAGAGCCCAGCAGGAAGTAAGGGAGTGAGCCGTGTGAGAAGAATGTCCCAGGCAGTAGGAATAACAAATAAAAAGCTCTGACGCGGGAGTATGCTTGAGAAATAGCAAGACCAGTGTACCCAGAGGACAGAGTTGGAAAAGATGATAGTGGATAATGAGCAGGGGATCAGATCATATGGGCTTGGTAAATCACTGTTAAGGACTTAGGCTTTTTCTTAAGACAAGGAATGATTAGAAGGTTTTGGACAAGAAGAATGATGTGAGCTGGCTGCTGTTTATATTGAGAACAAATCATAGGGGGACCAGGGAAGCCACAGGGGAACACGAAAGAAGCCTTTGTAATAATCGAGGTGAGAGGTAGTGGTGATGAGACCCATGTAGGCTAGACATTGGTAAGAAGGGGTCATGTTCTATTTGTATTTTGAATGTAGTGACAAGAGGATTACTTAATAAATTGGATGTCACAAATAGAATCATCATGGATAATTGTAAAGTTTTTTCTGAAACATTGAAAATATCGTATTGTCATTCCATTTAGGGAAGGAGGGAATTAGAAGTTTTGTTTTGAACATAGTAAGTCTAAGCTATCTCTTAGACATCCAAATGGGGACATCAAGTAATTGCTGAGTATAGGAGTAGGAGTCTGAAGTTCAAGAGGAAGGTGCAAGCTAGAGTTCAAAATTTGAAATGTGCAAGCTTATAACAGGGTGTTTAAAGCCACGGGATTGAATGCGATCACTTAGGGAATGAGACTAGGAAAGAGGAAAAAAAAACAGATCCAAGGACTTGGCCCCCAGGTCCACCAACACTGAGAAGTTGGGAAAATAAAGAGGACCCAGCAACGGAAACTGAAAAGGAATGGCCATTAAAGTAAGGGGTATAATCAAGAAGGTGGTGTTCCCAAAACTAAGAAACAGACAATCTCAGTTTATTCTGTTAAGAAGAAAGAGAAATCCCCACTTCCCCATTCATCTTAGTTAGAGTATTATAAGTTTGATTTGAAAAATAGATATGGAACTTAAAATAGGTATTATACCCACTCCTTACCTTTGCTGGAAATACTCTTTCTGTTGTATGGTTGCTTCCTATATTCATCAGCTATCTTCTCAGTGAGGCCTTCCACAGCCACCCTAAAATTTGATTTTAGCCCCTGCCCTGCCCCAAATACTTCATATCTCCCTTCCATCCTTAATTTTTGTTTCTCTTTAGCTTTTTTAATACTTAATACACTATATATTTTTACCTTGCTTGTGTCTCCTGCTAGAATTAGTAAGTTCTGTGAATGCAGTAGCTCTTGTCTATTTCCAAAGCACTTAGAGTATTGCTTGACCTGTGGTAGGTTGTTTGTTTTTTTTTAGTTGAGATAATTGTAGAGTCACATGCAGTTGTTAGAAATAATGTACAGAGATCCTTTGTACACTGTGTTGTCTCCCTATGGCTGCTGTAACAAATTACCACGAGTTTGGTGGCCTGCACACTAAAACTTCATCCTCTTACAGGTCTGGAGGCCAAAAGTCAGATCAGGGTAGCAGCAAGGCTGCAATCCCTTGGGAGAGTAGAATTTGCATCTTGCCTCCTCCTGCTTCTGGTGGCTTGTGGCCACATCATTCCAAGTTCTCCCTTCATCTTCACATCACCGTCAGCTCTGTAGGCCTGGACTCCCTCTGTGTCTCTCCTATGAGGACACTTGTGGTAGCTTTTAGGGCCCACCTACATAATCCAGGATCATCACCTCTTTTCAGAATCCTTCAGTTAGTCACATCCTCAGAGACTTTACCATATAAAATGACATTCAGGGGCACCTGGGTGGCTCAGTCGTTAAGTGTCTGCCTTCAGCTCAGGTCATGATCCCAGGGTCCTGGGATTGAGTCCCACATCGGGCTCCCTGCTCAGTGGGAATCCGGCTTCTCCCTCTCCCACTCCCCCTGCTTGTGTTCCCTCCCTCGCTCGCTCTCTCTCTCTCTCTCTCTCTGTTGAAAAATAAAATCTTTAAAAATAATAATAAAATGACATTCAGAAGTTCAGGGATCTGGGGGGGAGGAGCAAGATGGCGGAGGAATAGGAGATCTGGATTTCGTCTGGTCCCAGGAATTCAGCTGGATAGGGATCAAACCATTCTCAACACCTACGAACTCAACAGGAGATAGAAGAAAAGAATAGCATCAACTGTCTGAACAGAAAAGCGACCACTTTCTGGAAGACAAAATGACAAGATGGAAAAAATCACCTCAAAAAAAAGAACAAGAGGCAATACCAACTGCCAGGGACCTAATCAATACGGACATTAGTAAGATGTCGGAACTAGAGTTCAGAATGATGATTTTAAAGATAATAGCTGGGCTTGAGAAAAGCACGGATGTTATTAGAGAAACCCTGTCTGGAGAAATAAAAGAACTAAAATCTAACCAAGTCGAAATCAAAAAGGCTATTAATGAGGTGCAATCAAAAATGGAGGCTCTAA